TTCGTTGATTTCTTGGATAGAAGAAAAATCACTTTCTGTTGCCAAATTTAATGGTACAACAACCGAATCATGTAGTTCTGAACCTTCTTCATCAAACACACACTGTTCTTGTTCTTCAATTAATGCCTCAATTTCCAATTTCATCTTCTTAGAACGAGTAATCGTATTAAATGAATTGTTTGCCCGTGCGCACTTGATTTGGAGATTGTACTTAATGTACAAAATTGATATCGCATCCAAATATCTCAACGGGTTTTCAAACAATCCTTTATTATAGTTTTCCATGGCAACACTAATGTTTGACTGCAATTCTTTCATGTTGGTTTTATATCTTTTAAACACAGTTCCTATATTAAGTTCCCCCATTCTTTTTTTGTTTTGTTTTCAATTTTTCTTAAAAAGTCGATTAAAACGAACAATTTTGGATGCGCGACAGTAATAAGATAACCAACTCCACTATGAAAACCTTCAGAGAAATTATTAGTACGGTTTTGTTCACAAAACTGACACCAGTTCGAACAATCAATTTTTTCCAACCAAAATCTTTTGTAATAAATAAGCAATTCTTGAAATTTGGTTTTGATGTTTTCTGGTACACCATACTGTTCAGATAATGACATTTCTTCAAAGAATTTTTCAAATGTACTTTTAATTTCACTTTGTGGTAAAAATGGTATTGAAAACAATCGTCGCACCCATGTGTGAAGAACGGAATTGATTTGGTATTGTGTTGATAAACCAACCTTGCCGAGCATTCTGTACACCGCCTGATTGAGGTGAAACAAACAAATTTTGATTTCGCATTTGAAAACCGACCGAAATGCAGACATTGCAGCAATTTGACAATCGGTATGGGCAACTAAAAGAGAAGGAAAAAACGTGGAAATTTTTGAAAATGCAAATGTAAACGTATCTGTTTTTTCATTTGGTAAAAGAAAAAACACAACAGGAAACACATGATCTTCAACAAGTGAATGTATAGTATATACACAATTAACATCACTTGGAGTAATCCAACATGTTCCATCTGCGAAAATTTCTTTTGAATGAAAAGCAATGTGCTGTTGATGTGCAGAAGAAAAGATAATGATACGGGGCATGTTTGGGTCTTCGTCAATTGAATCATAATAAAGGAAATTGTTGTTTTCGTTCACTTCAGATTTCGGTTCAATTGTAAGTTTCAAACAATCAGAAATTTTAGCATTTTGATATATTTCATTTCCCGAACCCAAAAGTCGATCTTGTAGTCTAGAAGCAAATTTTGTACATGCTTCAATTTCCTTTTTAGATGCTTGATCGCAGTCTGGTTGTAAAATAATTTTGTTGACGAGAATTCTAGGATTTTGCGTTTTTTCCAAATTCAATTCTCTTGTTAATATTTCCCTCCTACATCTTGCTCGAAACAACTTTTCGTGATCAAGTGCACATGTGTGAACTCCTTCTACAGTAGACTTCTTTGTTGTATTGTCTATTTTGACTAAAACGTGACACCCGTCTCCACTACACTGATAAACAAGTGTTCCATCTTTTGATGTTCTACTGAAAGCATAACATTTTCGCCCTAACGACAAAAGTTGGTGAACTTGTTCGTTTCTTCTTGGCTTGTTTGTATTATCGAAAAAGCGGTATGTTTCTTCTTCCATTTAATTATTAAAATTTTAAAAGTTGGTGATTAAATAATCTAAAATTATAGAATTCGTTTAACCTAAATTATAAATACAAATATAAGTTTTTAAAATTGTTTTATATAATTTTTTGTAAATTTAATTAATTTTGTAAATATTTTCGAGAAAAAAATTATTTTATTTTTTGAAGCAGTTTTGGGATATAAAAATTTTTTATTGTTTCAAATTATTTTCCAATCAAGAATTTGAACCAATGTCTATTTGAACCAAAGTCTATTTGGACCAAAGTCCAGATTCCGTCTCCGCATTGTAAACACACAGTATCATTACATTCCACACAATCGAAATACTCTTCTGAACACTTGTGACATCGACCAGAAAAGACGCCATATGTTGGATAACATGCTGTGCACTGCTTTTCATTTGTAGACAACAAACAATTTGCATCAACTTCTGTGCATTCCACACAAACATTTGTCGTCGTGTTTTCAATGGTTTCTGAATAAAAAGTGTTTTCACAGAATTGGCAATTGTCACTCTCAGTACAACTTAGACAATTCTTGATGCAATTTTTGCAATCCATTCCTCTGAGGTAGTATCCATTATCTATTGGACACGTGGCACACTTCATTTCATCTTCTTTATAATGGTAATACGTGTTATTACATACGTTGCACGAATACGAATTGTCACAAACGTCACACCCTTCAACACAATTCTCACATATTTTAGTTGTTGTGTTGTAATACATCTTATCGAAACAAACAGTGCACACATCAATTGTACACTCGGTGCAATTACCAAACTCCGAACACGAATTACACAGCTTGTTGTCGTTGAGATAAAATACCGTTTGGCACCCCAAACATTCAAATTCGGTGCATTTAAAACAGTTAGTTACTGTGCATGGCAAACACGTAGAATCTTTTAAGTAAAACCCATCTTTACACTCCGTACATATTGTAACACTTGTACACAACGTGCAGTTTGCATTGCACCTATTACAGTCGTTTCCACTGACATAATATCCCAATTCTAACTCACAAAATCCACATTTTAATGTTTCAGAGTCATATTTGTAATTTGCACTGCACGCAGTACATTTATTAATATCACATTGATAACACTCTCCATAGTACTGGCACGTCTGGCATTGTCCATCCTTTGAAATATACCCGTCTTCACATTTTAGACACGTTGATGCACTACTACACACTTCACAATTTGGCACATAATATCGACATAATGGTACACAGTAATACGAAGTCTGAAAATCGATAATTTCGTTTGGCCCGCATGGTGCACAATAAGCTTCTTGAATAACATAATGTTCCGTATCTGAGCATGTTGGTAATTGATGATATGAAACAGTAGAACAAGTGTCGGTAGTTCCCCTGATGTAAAAATATTGTTCAAGATATTGATCTCCAATACACCCGTCTGCCTTGTAATAAGCTGTTACAAAACGAATACCACAATTATCAACAGTGCCTTCAGTGTTTGTTGTTTCAACTAACATACCTCCCATACAAAGAGCCTGTATAAATGGAGACCCCATATTTTCAAATGTTGAATAGTCCAATACTTGAATGTATTACATTCCAGTTATATTTACTAAAGATGTGTCGCCTTCAAATAATTTGGTAGAAAGTTTATATAACCCATTCAAATTGATGACCGTCAATGATGCTAAATTGGCGAATGCCCCTGTCGCAACACTTGATAGTCCACGTGGGAAAAACAGTTTTTTAATGTTGTTACAATTGGAAATGCCATTATAATACACTTCTATTAGAGAATAGCCAAATTTAATTTGGGAGACTGAAGAAGCATAGATCGATTGTTCACCTATAAGCGTAACATCTGGTATTAATACACTCACCAGATACCAAATATAAGCTAACGCTCGATCACATATAACTGTTGCCCCTTTTAAGTTGATTGTGCGGAGTTTCGAATCATAAAAACACTTAACACTAACACTGAAAAATCCATTTAAAGAATACACACTTTCAACACTTGATCCAGAAAAGGTTGCCTCACTTAAATAAACTGGTGATGTTGTGGTAAAATTAATCGATTTTATTACTGAGTTTGCAGAATACAATCTTGTTTCTGTAACAGTACATTTGGAATCAACAATATAATCCTGACATGTCGAAACCACTGATGCAATGTCTGCACTTGTTAATGTATTTGATGAACAAGTCACTTTACACCTTGTTGAAGCACCTCTCGACAAGAAAAATATGAAGATAATCAAACAAAGAAAAGATTTCATACAACTTTGTTATTTTTTAGTTTATAAATTGAATTATTATTTAATAATTATTCACCCACATTAACCCCAAAAAACTACACATATTTTTTTGTTTTTATATTAAATTACATTAGACAAAGTAAATGTAATTAAACACTTCAATCTCTATACTACAATCACTATTTTGAATTGTTTTGATTAATAAAATTATAACAATAAATATAATACCAATTACCAAATTAAAAACAATTGTTGTTGAAAAACATATTCATCTTACAAGGTTAACACAACAAAACATATTTTTTCATTATATTGATTGATTGTATATAATATAATTGAATTAATATATTGTTTATTTATTGTATTAAAACAGAATGCCTTTAAATTAGAATGTAAACTGTTTTTCAAAACTCTGTACTGGGATGCCCCGATTTTTTAGACAAATAATTTCTAAATAATTTTTCCTTTGCTTAACCCTCATTTTTTGTTCAAAACATTTACTCGTAAAAAACAAAATAACGAACTTGAATTTTTTTAATTTACTTGACAAATAAATTTTGAATTTAGTATTGTTATTACCATACCACAATTTTTGCCAAAAAAACGGAAACACAACTCTATAATTAAATGTCCATGTTTACAGAATCACCAAGTCGTGTTTTGGATAAAAATGAAAAGTACTAATGAGTAAAACAAGCACTGAGAGAAGATAAATTGGTTAAGGCTATACAATTGAAAAGTTTTTTTTAATTTTTGAAATGTTTATTTTATTTAAGACTCTTTTGATTAATAACCTTGATTGTTTAAATGTTTGTTTTATGTTATCGATAACTTTTTTAATTGTTGAAATAAACAAAAACTTATTATTAATTTAAGTGTTGTATCATTTGATGCAATAATGTCCTTCATCACATCATTAGTTTATCGTTAAATTACGTTTATCTTATGTTTATTTGATAGATAGAATTTTACTGAAGTTTAGTCACAAAATGAAACACAAACCAAATAACAAACCTAAAAAATCGGGGAAGATTGACCCAATATTTTGGTAATTTCCCGATTGTTTGTTCAATAATTGAAACTGTATTGATTTTTAAGGGTTTAAAACTGTGTAACGTTGTTGGTTTAACAAACAGGAAAATAAAAAATAAAACAAATAAAAAATAGTAAATAACGGGAAATTAGGACAAAGGGTTTATATAAATTTTGGAAACGGTACAGAGTTTTGGAAAACAGTTTAAATTACTGATTTAAAGTTTTGATATTTTCACACACAATTAATGCGAAATTTAATAGAGTCATTTGCTAAACGTTGTCTGCCGATTTTTAGGCCATTATAAATGGAAAATTCTGGGATTTTTTTTTTGAAAAACCCCAAAAACTGTTGTTTCAATATTTTTTCCATTTTTTTTTTCATTTTTACCTAATTCCCGTTTTTTTTAAAACAAAAATATTTTTTTTTGTCGAAAAGACAACGTTTATCAACTGACTCTACAATTATTTTTTAAACTTTATCTTTTAAAAAAAACTTTAGCTGTTCCATTATATATTTGTAAATATTTAAGATTTGAACGTTGGTCTTCTTGTTTGGAATTTTTTGGGATTAGTATGAGAACAAAAACTCTTCAAAATAAAAAACGCTTTTGTGGAAAATTAGAAAATAATTACAGTTGGGGAAATTAACCTTCGCCCAGCAAATAAACTTTAGCCCATCTATTTTTATTTTTATTGGGTAATATCTTGTCATTTTCTTTAAAAACACAGGTTTTAAATAAAAAAACAAAAAACAAGTATTTTGACAAAAAGAAACTTTTATATGTGTATAGTTTATTAGTTTAATATAGCAATAGCAAAATACTATTTTTGGGCCAATGTTTGTTTGATGCGCGAAGGTTTGAAAGCCCAACTGTACAACAGAGCAGTTGTACACTTTTGTTTGTGCACAATATTTCGAAAGCCGACTTTATTTTTTTATATAATCATTATTACTATATAATAATAACTTCTTTATTATAAAACACATCATTTTCAATTATTTAATATTGTAACCATTTATTTATTTTAAAAACAAAAATAATAATTTAATTATTATTTAATAACAAAAACCAAAAATATAATAATAAGTTTTTTTCAAATTATTTTTTGATTTGCCGAATTTTTATTATTTTTTTCATTCGACAAAGATTTTGTTGCTTCAACATTTTACTTTTAATATAGTAAAATTATTATTAATTATACTAATAAAACTATATTAAACCAATCCAATGAATATAATTAAATCCACAGTTTTTTTATATTTCAACGACAAAAAATAAGTTCAAAAGTTTTGACGAAAAGTTCTTTAGAAAATTCCTTTTGGTTTTTATAGTTTTTGGTTTTTAATTTCATTTTTTGAAATTTGGTTTTTCGCCTTCAACTATTTCCTCTCGCAAACTTTATATCACTTGAGACTTAAATGAGTGACGACGCAACCTCCTCATTTTCCGTGGGGATTCCTTACTTTTGTGGTCAAGTGTATGACCCCCTTATTCCAATTGATTCTTTTGTCTATACAATACATGGCGATCTTCTTACTCTTCTTGAAAAGGTTCAAAGCCAAACAGTTTGTTCTTGTTTTCCAAAGCAAAATCCAAATAATTCTAATTATAAGGAAGAACAGATCTACCACACTTTAAACTGTATTTTAAAAAACCCGATTAATTGCGATTATTTAAAGCCGGAGGTGTTACTATTAATCATTCACCGCTTGAAAGACGGTGTTTCCGATCGAACGGCATTTCATATGATCGATGTGTTATGTCGCAAAATATCGTCTTATTTTGACAATGACCTTTTCGAGAGTTTTTTGTCCCTTTACTCCTCCATTTCTTCGACTCGTGCTCTTCAACTAACTCAATCCATTTCAACCACTTTATTGAAGAGAAACAACCCAAGAATTTACTACGAATTTACAGGCTTTAACACATACATTTCTACCGTCCTTTCTATACACCACTTTCCAGAGACCTCTGCCGTCTACCACACCAAATTCAAAATGACTAAATACGTCCAACATACAACTCCAATTGTGTTTTCGTTCTGTTCCAATTCTTTTGGTATCAAATTACTCATCAGCTCCAGTTCAAAATTAATCATCGAGACCGACGTCCCACTGACTAAAACAGACACCTCTCCCTCCCCAAGATCTTCACTCTTCTCTCCAAAGAGCCGAACATCATTCAAAGAGAAAGTTGCGCAACAAAACTACTCAATGGCTATGATGAAGAAAATTGAAACCGATATTAAAGTTCTCCCAGACACGTGGCACTCTATTTTTATAATTCACACAAACGACAATGCGCTGCAGTTTGTCTGTAACGAGAAGACTTCAGAGAAGTTCTTCTTACCATATCCAAGTATTCACGACGACTCGGTCTTCTTGCTACAAATTGCTGGAAGCTCGGACGAAGTTGGGAAGAACTTCATTGGGGACGTCACAGGGTTTCAACTCTTCTTTAATTCCTCGAGTGTTTCTGAAGTCAATAAATTGCAGCTGAATGAAGTCGTGTTTGACAATGAGACGGAGAAGTGTCTTGCTTTACAGGTTTCACCTCTCCGATCGATGATGATTGGCGATCGCGCCTTTTTTAAGAAAGTCACGAGTGTCGTCAATCAAGCAATAAACAGTAACAAGGTGTCGGTCTGTTCGTATTCAGTATCGTCGAATTTCAGTCCGATTTTTGCGATCTCGAATTTGCGGATCGATGACATGGTACTTCGAGTCGGCGGGTTGGTCCAATTTTTTTCGATCTTAAATTTCGGCTTTGATTCGGACAAATATAACCAACTGAATACGCCCGCCCTCTTCCAGTTATTGTCGTCGATCTTCAAACAGAACGACCAGCTCCGTAGTCAGTGTGAAGAGATGCGATTTTATAATATTATATTACAATACATCTTAAGTGTCCAAAACAAAGACATGGGATGTGCAATAGACTTCATTTCAATATGTGTGAGACTGTTCACTAACAATTTGAATGAAGACTTAAAGAAGGTAGCTATACGATACATGTTTGACGTTGATAACTGGATTGGGTCAAAAGACTGCTTGTACTACCCCGATATCTTATCAAAAATGATCCCACCTACTACTTGTTTAACAAATGACGTTTTTAAGTACATCACATACGAACAAATGGTCACATATATTATTGCAAATGCAGAGTCAATGGCTTGTACAGACAAGTCCATCTGGCTTGGGATCAAGTGTCGCTTTATACAGTTTTGCGTCGACCTGGTGATCCGTTCCGATATCAAGAAATTTGTGGAGATCTGCATAACAATTCTCCAGACGAATGAAAACACGCCAATCACTATTTTACTGCTCTTTGCTCTTCTGTGTATTCTCTGCAACACAACACAACCACCACAAAGTCTGAAAACCTGCACACAACTTTTCATACACTTTTTGAACTCAAATGTCATCGAGGTTTTCATCTTTTCGTTGAAAATACTTTTCATCTTGTGTGGAGAGTCAGAGCAAGTGATTTCAATTGCAAGGGACGTGTTTCCTAAGACGAATTTATCACTCGAAGTCTTCGAGGCTGTTATAGAATGCTCGACGGGGATCATTAAGAGTGAGTTGTCTCAGGGCATCCGTCTTGAGAATGTCACACTAATGAAATACTCCACACTCTTTGTTGAGTATTTCTTCATAACTCTCAACGGAATAATGGAAAGTACAACAAAAGAAGAATTGACTCCAATTTTACTGAAAGATGTCTCGACTTGTGACTTGGATCACCCGGTCTTCATGGCGCTGTCGAAATATGTTGGATGGGAACAACCATTGTTTCTGCTTGTAGAGTTCTTCTATAACAAGCAAATGGACACAGAGAAGAATATGGTGATCAAAATAATAGTCAAAATCCTCATTAACTCGTTTAAAGTGTATAACACAGTGTATATCACCACTCTTGTGATTAAGATGGAACAACTCTTTCCGAAGTGGAAAGACGCGTATCACATCGTGTTCTCCTTTTTCAGTGAATTTTTGAAACACAAGCCGTTTGAGTTGACTGAGAAAGGTATTTTGATATTAGAGTGTGGGATGTTCATATCACAAATAACGTGTGGGATGTGTAATTATGGGAAAATGGCTAACACCTTCTTCTTTGAAGAACAATTTGCACTCATTTCCAGCTTCTTTGAAGGACTCAAAAAGGACGACTTGGTGGGGGAATTTGTCACTGCGAAGAATCGAAATGACAATTTGTATCCGATGTATTACTCCTTCTTCATTAATTTAATACTGTCACACCTCAGGGCACTGTCATTCAAGAACGTTACAGATGTCAAAAAGTACACAAATATGTTCGACCTTTTATGTGCGATTTTCAAGCTAGTTCCTCCTAAGAGAAACAACGTCTTCTTTATAGACTGGTTTGTCTTCTACTCCACTACATTTCTTAATACCTTAACTCTCCCCCAAGTCGATAAGGATGTGTTGAAGTTGATTCAACTTAACATGTTCTCTGCAATTAAAAATTTTGAAGTTCAGAATGAAACCCTCTTTGAATCGGCTCTTAACCTTCGCCAACAGTTACTTGGAGAAATTCCACTTGATTTCTCCACAATTGATTCTGTCGACAAATTTACTGATATTTTGAATGAGGCGTACCACACAATCACTTCAATGATTGGCGTGGAAAGAATGGTCTTTGATAATTACAACACTAAGACCGTCGAATTTAAACGAGTGACGCAGACTAAAATTCCGCCAAAGGTCATCGACAACACGCCAATCGATGTCACGCGACTGTATAACGACATTTTGGCATTCAAAGAGAAGGAATACCACCGCTTTAAGAAAATTCAGAACCGATTTAGTAAGCCGCGGAATTTGCCATGTAAGGCGTTCTATTTGAAAGGGTTTAATAATCCGCTGAAGCCAATTTTCTTAGTCAAAAGTGCAGACATCTCTGATGTTGTCAGTTTGAACGACAAATTCTGCGTCGAGTTTGATTTAGTCAAAGACATCACGTTGCCACTGAATGCCGAATTGTCGACGGGGTGCATCGTAGTCTTCATTGATGAATACCAGCAGGGCACCTTCTTTTTACACCATAACAGAATTAACATCAAAACCAAGACCAAGTGGATAGAACAAGAGTTATCTGAAATAGTCTGTATAGTCTTGAGGAAGTTCAGAGAGACTGAAAGTGCATGTGAACTCTTCACAACTGACAATAAGCCCCTTTTCATAGCTTTTTCTTCACAACAGATCTGTCAGAACATTTGTAAGACGCTGACTCAATTGTCCCTCGACTTAAAGGTCTCATTGTCTTTAGTCAACTCGTCCTCTAAAATTTTTGCGTCTGAAAATTATATGAAGGACTGGGTCGACGCAAAAATATCGACGTTTGAGTACCTCTGCATCTTAAATTTCTTTGCAGGAAGAAGCTTTGTTGATATCTCACAGTATTACATCTTCCCATGGGTCACATTCTCATTCAACAAATCATTCAATTACGTCTATAACAACACCGATGTGATGAGAAACTTCTCAGAACCAATGTGCGCGTTATATGAGGACTTCCACGACAAGAATTTCTATAAATACGGCCCGTTGCCTGCCACGGCCGTCCCACTCTATTTGTCGCAACTCCAACCGTTTGGGGTGTTACAGTCGATATTTAATGCAAATCTGATGTCTACAAATAACTTATACACGGAGAACAGTACACTCAATTTCGACTATAAGAACATCCACTACTCTCCTCTTAATAACATCAATGATATCTCGAAACCTAGATTCTGCTTTGAAGCTATCCCGGAGTTCTATTCTTGTTCTCCACTGTTTACTAATGAAAAGAATGACACAGAGAAGATCAAATTTAACACTGAATTCGCTAAGAACCAAAAGCAGTTTGTGCTGTTCCACCGCATGTTGTTAGAGTCTCCCGCGGTGTCTAAGAAGATCAACGAGTGGTTCGACTTGATCTTTGGGAAGAAAATGAAGGACAAGACATACCCAGAAAATGCATGTAAAAATACACCACGGAAGATGTCACAGCTCGTCGGGGTCTCCCCACAAATGTTATTCAAAACGCACCCAAAACGGAAGTTGTCATTTGACTACACGATCCTTGTCGAGGAAATGCAGAAGGAAAATCGCGTGTTGAAGGACTTAAAGAGGAATTTGGAGTACGAGAACATCGTAGAAAACGCGAACGACATCTGTGTGATGAATTCCTCAATCACATGTGTGACGAAGGACACTCTAAGCACATTCTCCTTGAAAACTAAGAAACTCCGAAAGTGTGTGAGCGACCCCTGCACACTCCAAGACGTTCGAAAAATGTACTTCACTGATGACGACGACGAAATTGGTGTCTTAGTGTATTCCATTGGATGTCAAAATGTTATTGTGTATTACAGAGACCTTAAAATAGAACTGCACACAACAACAGGTAATATTATGAGTCTTGACATGAAGGAACTTTCGGACGCTATGACGTACCAAGTCGTTGTCGGGACATTCAGTGGCATTCTAGAAGTCTTTACTTTAAAGATCGACCGTGACACAAAGACTCTCAAGACGACAAAAAACAGTGAAATTCTGGTTTCTCCGCATCCCATCACTAAATTGGTCTACGTCCCCACACAGAATTTTGTCGCAGTCAAAAGTGGAGAGCAGATTTCAGTGGTTTCGACAGTCACTAAAAAAGTGTTGCAACAACATGATGAGAAGGAAGTGCTCTATATCAGTGCGTCGGGAAATGGAAATATCTATTACATCAAACACGAGTCGGACTCCCTCTTCTGCGTCTTCTCTGATATCAATGGAGTTATCACCGACAAAGTTCCCATCAGAGAAAGTGTTGTCTCCCTTGACTGTGTGTCATGTTCCCTTATCGATTACGTCTTGGTCGCTACACTCGACAAAGTCTTGATCTTCTTCAACACATACGCCTCTCCTATTCTGTTACATACTATCACTTTTGGTATGTCGTACCCAAAAATAAAAATAAAAGCAATCGTCACTCAACCAGCAAGCGTCTCAACTTCTCTTGTTGAAAATTGGTTCTTCTATGTCAAAGGAGTTTATCAAGACAATTCAGTGTTACTCCGCTGCTACACTTTAGATGATGTTAAATTGGTCGCTCTGTAATTAAATATATTCTATTATTTTATTATAATTCATAGCATCACTTATTATACTAGTAATTATACTTGTAATATTATACTATAACTATATAGTCCAGTATTTACTCTTTTACTACCTTATAGTAATAAATATTAATAATAAGTAATATTATAATATATAATAAATAATATAATTAATTATAGTAATAATTATATTATTATAATTATAATTAATACTATATTAAATACTATAATAAATAATATTAAAATAATATTAAAATAATACTTATCAACAAATTAACTATACACGAATAGTAAATTAATTATTAAAACACAATGTTTTACAACATGGATTCAACCGTCTCGGATTTTTCACTTTTCACCTTCTCGAAGACCAATTCGCTCTTTTCACTTTTCACCTCCACGTTCTCCGTCTTTATAGAATAGTCGACAAGAGTGTTTTGTTCGTTACTAATAGAAGGGGTGTAAGTATATTCTGGAGCTTTTGGTTGCACTCCTTTCATGAGTTGTTGGTCGATTTCGTTCTTTGATAAATGGATCCACTCTTTATTGTCGCCATAAGTCTTTACGTTCTCATAGAACTTGACCCCTTCATCGATTAAACTCTTCTTGTCCCAAGTCTTCTGGAGTTCGATTTTCTCCAAAGTTCTTCGCTCGGGGATATAATCCTTTTTGGGCTTCTTCTTCACTTCTTCGTCGAAGACTAGTCCAAAGAAGTATTTTAAGACGTCAAGAATCAAGTTGTCGACCGTCGTCGAGATGATGGTACGCTTCTCGCGCTTCTTGTCGGCATTTTTTGGGAAGTCGAAGAGTTCGACCTTCTTCTCGATCTCCGTCCGACTCACCAAGACCTTCTCGTCGTATGTGATCTCAACAATTTTGAGCTTTTGGTTCTTCCCTTTCTTCTGAAGTTTTGTTAGTGTGATTGCACATCCTAAGTAATAACATAACATCAATAAAAACCCCTCATTGCCATAATCATTCCTATTCGCATTCACTCGATTGTTCCGCTTCCGCTCTTTGGCTTGGACGGTACTCTTCTTCGTTCGATGCACCCGTTTACTATCAGATTCATCCTCTACATCTGAATCGGAAAGATCTTCGTCAACATAGAACGGCTCATCTGTGTCGCGGAAATACACTTTGGTATCCGAAGACACAGGATTGATTATTAGGAGGCCAGAGCCAACACCCATGAAGTGCGTTTTATAATTGAAACGGCTTTTTATTGTGAAGAATTTTCGAAACACATCGAAATCATATTTTTTAATTTAAATATAATTTTTATATGGTTTCTATGGTTCGATTGAATTGTGAAATGAAAAAATGAACAGAAGAATTGTTCTGTGTATTTTTTTTTAACAAAAATTTTGAGAGTGAAAAAATGGATTGCCGATCGAAAGTTTTTTGGATGATTTTTTGTGAGTGAAAAAAGCAGTTTTGAGTTTTTATTTCCCAAAAGTTTGTTATTATTTTTTTACATTTATTTTATTAACAACAATTGTTATAATAATAGTTTTGATATAGTATTTTTCAAATATTAATTATTTTTTGATATGAAAAAACAAAAGGGATGTTAAAAAAAGTAATCTCAATTGAAACTGATTGAATAAAGCAAAAAGAAAAATGAGTTGATTATTGTCCGATTTTTCTATTACAAAATTACTTTTTTATAATTTGTCACTTTTTTTATTTAATTTCTTTTTTTCCTGAAAACTTACGTGTAAACATGCTTATATAAAAACATTTGTCTCATTTAGAAACAAACAAGAGCCATTTTTATTTTATTTTTATTGTTTTAATACTATTTTTAAGTAAAATAATATAATTGGCTTAAGTTCCCGTTTATTTAAGTTAAATACATTGTGTTATTAATTGTAATTATACAAAACTTATATTCTGTCTTCTAAGAAACTTCTTTTTAAATCTTTTTATTCTTCAAACAAAACTTCTGTCATTTTTAACGGAATTTTTTAAATGTTTTATTTGAGTTTTTTTTGCACGTTTTGATAAATATTTTTTAACTAAAAATATAATAAAATTACATTTTGAATTTTATAATGAAAAAAAAATATCGGATTAATAAATAAAATAAACTTTTGACTTTTTAACCACATTCCGATATATAATCCCCTGTTGATCGCTTATTTAAATTTTACGAGTTATGATATTAACGAAAAAAAAAGTGTTTTACTACATACATGACTTATCCATAGTTTTAACATAGTAAATTAAATAATACTAATAAATATTAGAACCAATAAAAAAATTATTACAAATTGTTATTAAATTTTTGTTTTAATACAACACAATAGTAATTTAAACTATAAATTGTAATATACACAATTAAACAATTGTTAAACTTATCAAAAATATTATTAACACAACAATTTAATTCGATAAAACTTTTGATAACAAACATAACAACACAATATAATACCAAAAACCAATTCAAATAAAACAAATAACTATTTAATTAATATTTACCGGATTCAGAAAAGGGAATCTTTTGAGTCTGTTAAAGTCGATATTAGTTGAAGGCAAAACGAAAAGTGATGTGATAGTTTTTGGGATGAAATCGAAATTGATTTTCGCCGTTGAGTTAATTTTGACTGACTTAACTCCTTCGAGTTGATTTAAATTTAAAATGAGTGGTTGACATCCCTCGAAGATTAATTGTTGAATATTTGGATTTAAACTCAAAGAAATGTTAAAACATTTTGACACCAAAAGTGTTTCAATTTTCCTCAGACTTTTGAAGTCCAACTTACAATTATCAAAACACCCAATTTTGAGGTGATTCAAGTGAATGGGGTACTTCTTAAACGTTGTTTGGAGTATATAGAGACTATGTATTCCCCCAAATCGTTCCAAATCGATCTTTTTAGACTCATTTGATCTTCCCGAGACACTTAAAGTATCCAATAAAGTCGATCCGCTCAAGTCATTAATATGTTTAATGATGTGTTCGTCGCAATTGAAGACTTCCAATTTCTTCAATGAACTTGGGTAGAACGCTTTGAATCCGTTTTGTGCCATTCGGCACCTTTCCAGTGACAAATAAGAAATAGTTGTGAACGGGGAGATGTTACTAGAAAATTGAATCGTGTCGAGTCTCAGTCGTTTCAAATTGATCAAAGCGCTGAGTATATCCGTCGAACACTTTTTCAGCGACAACTCCGTGAGTGAGGCACAAACGTCTTTAGTCAGACACAGTGCCAACTTCGTCACAAAATTAGGGTTGAAGACTTTCTTCTCTTTAGCAACTAAACATAACTTGCCGAGACTTGTCGTGTTATTAGAAGGGACGGGGAAGACCACTGTAGTCTTGTGGACGTTATCGTAGACAATTTTAAGTTCATTCAACTGTGTGCAGTCGCTCAAATTCACATTGACGTTCCCAGTGTCCGTCTCCGTGCAGTTGACTGACATCCCAATGGTGTAGTTTCTCTTGTTTAATATGTACAACGCGTTCGATGTGATTTCTTGCGAAGGGACAAAGGAGATGTCGTTCTTGTGTAACACGACAATTCTGAAGTCCAATTTGGGGTGCCAAGTCGTCGTCGCAAGTGTCGCAAACGACGCGAGTCTGTCCACGACATCTTGTGGTGTTGTCTCTGGGATTTCCAATATGATGTGATCGACAAACTCATACTTCTCAAGGACATACAGTTCTTGGCAACACGAGTGTTGTTTAATATGCAACAAGTCCAGCTTTTGTAATTTGTTTGGAAAGTGGAGGGCAAACGAGCACATCTCAAGGCACACCTTCTTCAATTTAGGAAACGTCGAAAAGTCGACTTTATCAGAAAAGACTCTGCCATTGACTTCGACGATCTTATTCTTAAACGGAAAGAGGCGATACATCTCTTCGGGCATATCAAGTAGAATGATGTTCTCTATGGGGTCCAGTAAGTAACTATACTCTTCTAGTTCACTAATAGTTCCTTGGATGGTTTGAATATGAGGGAATAACGCAAACGTTAACTTTGTTAGTCGTGAGTTAAATGTGTCGCCAAGGCCCGATTTCCGTTTTAAAGGGGGGTTGACACGGAGATAATTACAGACGTCAGCACACTTCCGATTGACTAGAATGAACGTACAGACGGTTTCTACACTATCCATAAAAAGCATGACGTTGGCTAAATAGTTCTTTTCGAGTGTTGAAGGTTGAATATTCATTGGTCTTAGTATTAAATTTCTTTATTGAGTTGATACCCAACAAAAGTCTTTGGAATTAATTCAAATCCAATACATACGAATCGATTGTTCGATTAATAGTTGGTGTATAGTGTCCATCTTAGTATAGTTTTGGTGTAGTTTTGTTATCATTATTTATACTATAATTAAATTGTTTGAACAAAATCAATTTTTGGCTCTCAAATAGTTTTCATGTTTTTTATTGATTGATACCAAAAATGCATTTGTATCGGATTTTTATTAAGTAATAGTGCATTTTTGAGAATAGTTTAGTAATCTATGTTATTAATTTAAATTCATTCATGTTATTTTTAAACAAGTTTACTCATGTTGATATAAATATTTTAATAACTCTATTTTATGGATATTTTTATTATAACAACTAGTTTAATTATGTGTTTGATCCAACCAACTAAAATCTCATATTTTAATATCATATTTTAATAAAATTTAATTATTTCCGTTTGTTGAAATTTAAAATAAAATATATCGATAATTACATTTGATTTTTAGAATAGTTTTTTCTTATTAAAGAAGTATTTAAAATGTTAAAATATTTATTATTATAAAATTTAATTTTTAATATTTATTATAATTAAAAAATTAAAAACAATTGAGTATTATATTAAATCACTACAAATAATTATACAATTATAATTAAAATAATAATAACTATAATATTTTAATATAATTTTCATATTAAAACTATAATTTAGTAGTTTTTAAGCATTTTATTTTTCTAATGTTTACTAACATTTTTAAAAATAATAGTAAGCATTTGTGGTCTAAGGGCAGAATTCCACCCTTCCAAGGTGGAGATCCGGGTTCGAGTCCCGGCAAATGCACTTTTGATAAACTATACAAATAAAAAAATTTTATTTAAAACGCCCAAATTTGTATCTAGTTTTTACATAGTTTTATTTTAATAAAATTATTTTTTTTTCATTATTAATATTTAACTAACCAATTAATTATGTTTAGTAATAAAATACATATAATGATTTAATATAATTATTTAAACTATTTTATATTTATTGAACTATAACCAAAATATAAATGCTTATAAAGATTCAAAGATGGCATGCTACAATGAAAACAAAGGCTATTTTAATCCCAACTTTCTCAGTTTAGTATTCATTTTTCTTTTTGAAAAGCACAATCAAGCTTTCAACCTGTTTTTCAAACCAACGTATTGAAAAACCGGAGACTTGCCAAGTGTGCCACAACTCGATTAGATCTTAAAAAACATTTTCAAAAACTACAACAACAATAGCCAACCAAACAAACAAGTAAAGCATTTTTAAATGCCTTTTTAAATAAATTTAATATGATTCCAATAAATAATGGAATAAAATTATGAAGTAGGTTATACACAGTTAAAATGAAAAGTGTTACAAGCTCAACTGTTATCATAAATATATCAATTGGTTCAAGTTGATTGTTAACTCTGCTCTACTTATTTAAAATATATTTTTTAAATAACTATATATAAAAATACTACTAATTGTATTTAATTATAATTACTTAGAACCTTTCTATCACCAAGTTGACACAAAAGACCGGGTAAAAACGAAGTTAAAAAACAACATCAAATATCTATTAAAAATTATCAAAATCAAGAAACACGTTGTAAACTGTTCGAAACTATAGAAATGGGGTGTAAAACACATTATTTCTAAACTATAAAACTTTTTAGTAAATTGGCACAATTTGCTCTGGTGTAATTGAATTAAAATATCTATAAATATGTTAACGAGTATTAATAAATTAATTACAAACTTCCAAGTATTGTTTTTATATGAAATAATAAAAGTATTTACTCTCTAAATGCCGAATTAAACACCACCCCTTGTTCTTATAATAAAATAACCGTCCATATAGAAACGGAAATTTTACACTAAAAAAACAGGATGAAGCATAATGTATGATCACTAGTTAATTATTAATTTAATTATAGTTAAAATAACTAGACAAGTCTGCTATTGCCAACGAAAAATAATTAAGCCTTGAAGGTAAAAACTGAACCAATAACGTAGAAAAAGATGAAAAATAGAGCGAACTGTAAAAAATTAAATAAGTTCAAGACGAGAACATTTAATAATAGAAAGGAACACCCAGTTTTCCCCAAATAATTGGCCTATCGTGGGTGTGTGCAAATTGCGCTTTAAACACGCCGAAGCGCAAAAATGCAAATAAGTCGCACTGTTATTCATGCCACGTGTGTGCATCAAAATGTGAAACTTTTAATAGCAAAAACCAAAATAGCAAATGTAGCCAAATGGCCGATGGCGAAAAACAAAAATGTATTTAGGCCAAAATCATCGGAGCAAGTGTGAAATCTTGCGGGAAGCAAGTGTTCTTGGTAATTAACGGTTGTTTTTAATATAGAAACTATAACAAAAAAAGAAACGATGAAATGGAAATAAAACAAGAGGGGAAGATTTGTTTCCTGGTGATGCGTTGGCGACAAATATCTTTTTTTGGTATTGGCATTTTTCAATCAATTAAAAAGAACCAATTATAAGAGCAGAACTGTAAAAAAACGGGTTCTTATGAAGTTTAACTCTTTATTTTCGAGTTTGTTGGCATTTAAGACTAACTAAGCGCATCCCAATGAATCAATAATAGTTATAATCGGCGCTCAAATCAGGAGATATAAATAACAAGCCAACCACCGCTCGCTCTAAAAACTGGCCAATGAAATCCGTCTCAAAAATAGTCCATACAAAATATGATGTTACACGGCATTTTGCCTTAACTGAAACTTATTCGTACGTCCCCGATATTTTCGACCCAGATCCAGTGACAAGTCTGTAACTGTGCTTAACCAGAAAAACTGCTGGATTTCTGCAAATACACTCAAATGAAGAGCACAGAGCGCAGCTATAAAAATAGACCAAGTTTACAAAACCAAATATAATTTCAGTTAGTTTGTGAAACAAAATCGTGTGATATTTAAGTTCCTTGCAGCCACTGGTATTCACCAAATGCAACTTGCCCGCCCTCTCCGCCTCATTCCATTGCTCTCAGAGTCCCTTGTGAGTTCGCCCCTCCCCAAAGAAAAGGAGACGGAGAGTTTAGACACAAAGAGAGGAAGTTCGGTCAATGCACAGAAAGAGCGTCAGTTCAAGAATCAACAGGCGTATCAAGAGAGTTATTTATTAGCCCTTTTGAACCAATTTTTCTCAATCACTTTAGAACGCCCAGGAAAGCAATCGAAGATGACATCGTCCATGCCAATAGTCCTCTCTTTGGAGCTCAATGGCGACAATTACGATATCAAAGCAATGGCAGAGAAGCAGTGCGACTTGATTCAAAAGGAAGAAGTCAGGAATGGAGTGTCCGAAAAGACCGTCTCGCGACGGTATAAGAAGAACGTGACCGCTTTCATGCAGACGTACTTGTTCGACTTCTGCGAACAACTTGGCTTTGTCTTCGACTCAAAAAGATCAAAACAGTCAAATAAGACCCTCCAAGTCGAACGAATCGAGAACGTCTATTTCAACGGAAACCTCGTCGCGACGAAAGATGAAGTGTTGGAAAAGGGAAGGAGCATCTCACAATTCTTATTCGAAAGAGTCGATGGGAAGAAAAAACGAAGGGTCGTCCTCCCTGTTAATTGTGACGAACTCAAAAACTTCACACATGTCAACTACGTCTCAGAGTCGGAAAGCCTCTCGAAAGTCTTCTTGTAAATTATTCACGTTCTTTTTCGTTGGTTTTTTTACACGGGCAACTCATATGTTTTTCTATATTCATTGACATACACTTTTGTATTATACCCGATCGGTGGCTTTGTGACTCACTCATTGAATTACTTGTATCGGAAATTTGTGTGTTTTTGGCGCGTTTTTGTCGCTTAAAAATGGCCGATTTAGTCAATAAATGTATTCATCATCGAAGGAAAAGATACGCAAAAAATGGGAAAAGATGTTGTTGTAGTGCGAACATTTTTTGTCGCTCCGTAAAAATGGAAATTTGTCAAGTTAAAAACCGACATTTGATTATTTACTTGTTGTTTTAATGCAAGTCTGTTTTTGCCATTGTCTTGTTTTACATCCCCCATTTTCCCATTTGAATACTTTCCCACAATGTAAATTTGATTATTTATTCGAAACTGAAAAAGAGACTTCTTGTAAAATATTACACTTTTACTTACACAATAAAGGCATTTAATGTGGTTTGGTGAGTTTTTAATAACAAAAAATTGTTGTAAAGATATTTTCATAGTAAATACAACAAAGCAAGTCTAAGTGGTAAAACAAAAATTGAAAAACAAACCAATTTATTCGCCATTTTGATTTTTGTGACGCTTAAAATAGAAAATGGTTTTTTTTGGTGGAGATCAACAAGTGTAAATATTGCCTAAGTATTACCAATTCATTGTATTTAGCACATTTCCTTATCAACTTTATACATGTGGTATCATAAAAAACCGTATTAACTTCATTTGTCATATGTTTTTGCAGACTTTTCTTCTCGACTCCATTTGTGTTTTGCTATTTGTAATCAAAAAAAGCTTTGTCTTTATATAGTTACTTATAATATCAGTTACTATACTTACTTCTATTATTTTTTGTCAAAATGATAGATAAATTGTTTTATTTTTAAACAATTTAAAAATAATAAAACATTTTTTAAAACAAAATTAAAAATAAAAAAATAATAACGTTTTCTAAAACATTAAAAAAAAATAAAACATTTTCTAAAACATTTTTTTAAACATTTTTTTAAACATTCGTAAACACTGATAAGCACTAAGGTGGTATACGTCCCTTTTCCATTAAATATCTTCCTATTTTCTTCATTTGAGTAACTAACCCGTCTGATTCGTAGTACGTTTGAGCAACAGTGACATACGCCAATTGCCTTAAAGCCGAACACAAAACAAATTTGAAGACATACGCCCCACCTCCAATTAGAGTCAAAAATGACCAACTCCATGTCTCACTCGGTATCGTCTTTAAAGAAAATGATATAAACAAAACGGTGAGTGGCACCACAGGTATTCCGAGTCTTCGATACGAGACCGTTGAACTATCCAGTGATGGTATTTTGAATGGTGCCTATCAATGATATTTTAATTATAATTATATACTTAAATAAACTATATATATAAAATTTGTTTTTATACTCTGATGTTGAGAACAAACTTCACTTGTCGATATCAAGTCGTTCAGTAACACAAACCGCGACTTCTCGTAGACACTCACAGGCACTTTATTGAATTTGCATATGAACATATGTTTAATGCAGTCGACGATGACTTCTGCGACCAAAATTGATAACAAAGAATAGACCATTGCCATCACCAGTTGTGGGTTACTCACTAAGTCCCAGTCGTAGCTCCCGAAGTTCGTCAAACACAATAAAATGATGAACGTGAAGATTTCAAAGATTTCGACGATATCGGCACACACAATTTGAAAGACATTTTCAGGAAACATCCTCTTCCACACCGGAGATTTGATCTCAACAATATTGTTCGATACTAATAATGTTAAGAGAGCATATCCAGATGAGTTAATAGACACATTGAGCGCCATGATATGAAAGAATAACGTCAGTGTATGTGTCAGAGTCAGTCCAAATGTCATCAAAGAGAAGATGAAAACGTCACAGACCTTCTTTTGTTGCACAGAGAGTAACAGCGAGTTGTGTACATCGAGCGTGAATGCCGACAAGAGTCGATTAAACATTTCCAGTGCATTATAAAGGGCATATAACTTTAACACTGACTCCGCTCGTATGTAGTGATACACCTTTCCTATGTCTATCAGACTCACTATCCCCACACACATCAATGTCACAGTATACATAATACAGTCATACACACGCTTATAATGAACTATCTCCCCCTTAGTAAATAACACTCTCCATATATAACACACTATTCTCGTCGGCGTGAATAACAAGAATGATGTGAATGTGTCAATCGATATCAGCAACCCCACAAAGATCGTCTGTCTGTTATTGTGTATGCCGTGTATAATAAAAATATTAGAAAAGTCTAGTAATACTATTAAATACTATATTAATACTATTAATATAGTATTATGTAACAAACCAATTCTAAATAAAAAGGAGTCGTTACAAAACTCTTCACTGAGTCGGGGATCGTATTGTCATTCGTGAGTTGCTGAGTTAAGTTGATCGACTGTGACAGTGTTGTTGAGACTCGTGTCGGAATAGGTGATTGAATTTCAACGTCGAGGCCAACCAAATCACTCAGAACTATCTTTTTAATATTGTCACGGACATCCACAGTTTGAGTGGCTGTTTTTAGTACATTTGTGGGCGCTGGAGGATTCGGAGTACTCATGATTTATACAGTTCTTCGGTTTGTGTCTTGGAAGTAATTAACATTTGTTTTTTAGTATAGAATACAAAATGAGAATGACAAATATTATAATTTATTTATAATTTATTTATAACTAGTTATAACATATTAACAAAATAAAAATATCGTTAATTAAAAAATAATGTTAATTAACAATTACGCTCATTAATTAAAAAAACTATTTATTATTATTATTAATAAAAAAATCAAAAATTATAATATATTTTATTATATATTTCTAACAAACAAATTTGGTAACAAAATAATTAAAATGCCCAACTAAAAAATAAAACACTAAAATTACATCAAAAATTCATATAACAAAAAAATCTAACGCAAAAATTATAAAATGGTCAATTGAGTCGAACAGTGCGAAAACCCTATTAATTTCTGTTCCTCTTACTTTCTATCACATCGAACGAATGCAACATCACACAGGGACAAAGCTGTATATGTGGGACTTTTGCCAATGTGATCCCAAGAAGTGTTCTGGTCGCAAATTAGTCCGTCAAAAGTTAGTGAAGACGCTTCCGGTGACCTCAGCGTTTCATGGGATATGTTTAACCCCCGACTCTTCTGCCACCCTCTTTCTCCCGAGTGATGTCGAGCTGATTAAAAAAGCTGGTCTAGCTGTGATCGATTGTTCTTGGAATGAGTATTCTGCCGGTCGTGGTGTCGATGAAGTGAAACGCTTGAAGTATCGGAACGGCCGTTTTCTACCTTTTTTGATGGCCGGAAACCCTATTAACTTTGGGCGGCCCTTCAAATTGAATTGTGCCGAGGCCTTAGCTGGTGCTTTAGCTATCTGTGGGTTAGAAGACGATGCAAAGAGTGTGATGGAAGTATTTACATGGGGCCAGACCTTTTTAGATATCAACAAGAAGGTGATCGATGAGTATAAAGAGTGTACAACCCTAGAAGAGGTCTTAGCCGTTCAAAAGGCGTATTCGGAAAATGGCGAAGACGAAAAAGAAAGAAAAGAGAAAGAACGACAAAAGATGTTTGACATCCCAGATAGTGACGACGATGAGTTGGAAGGCTTCTATAACCCAAATCGAAATGTAGATGACGAAGAAAGTGGGGACGATGATGATGATTCAAATTAATATTAACGAGCTGTTTTTAATTTCCGTCATGGGTCTTCGGCGTGTTCTTCATGGTCAAATAATTAACGAGCTGTTGCTGTTATTTCTTTATGAAAAAACAACGAAAATAAAAAATAAACTCGTTAATTATCGACACGTATACCCACCTATTTCAACAAGCGAAGAAGTTAAACCGTTTTCCATTCAATTTAAATTACTCGAGTAATTTAAAATCAGCGGATTTTGACCTTCCCCAAAACATCGCATTAATATGAGGCCGTTGAAAAGCATTCTTTGGCTCTTTTAAAGGCTTTATTCTCACTAAAGGGATTTGACTGACTTGTTGGGAAAATTGAGAGAACTGAAGAGCTAAGTGATGAACGACTCGGAGCTTCCTTAATTCAGCTAAGTCATATTCTTCGTTTAATAGAAGTTGACAGTAATCAATCCAATCGATCACTGTGACTGTATTTTCATATAATAAAAGATCAGAGACGGCGCGGATGAATGGGGATATCTGTTTGATATGACTTAAAAGGCGCTTGAGTAACTCTAATGGACACAAGAAGCACTCAAAGGTGATACACACATAGTTCATCACGACGTAAGCAAATTCCCTCTTTAAAAGGATGTCGGCGTCAGTGGAAATTACAACGGATTTGAGTGTATTGACGTCCTCAGAAAGTCCGTCTAAGACTCGCAATCTGGACATGAAGTCTTTTTCTTCATAAAAAAAGACTCCACACGTCCAGTTTTCGATATTTTTCTCATTGTTGAGTGTAAAATTTAACACAAAAAGTTCTAAGAGCCACTCAATGTGTTTTGTGAAAATCACGTTTTTGTTCCGATAAAGTAAATCTTCTTCTGTTCTTATCCGTTGCGGGATATTCATCGAAAACGATGAGGGGTAATTGCGAAAATATTGTACTATAGAATTGGTTGTATCATACCATAAGAGATATACTATAGTATATAGTAAATTATAATACTCTCTTTGACTCTTGATTGTTACTATCCGTTCACTTATTGTTTGTAATAACGATGGAGGACAGAGCCCTTGATTCACTAGAAGTGTCGTTTTTAATTCGTTCAAGTACTTGTCCTCGACGTCTCTATCATTCTGACTACACTTTTTCATCAATTTCATTTCCTCCTTTGCTATCCGCGAACTGTTCAACATATTTTGAGCACGTTTTATAAGATCCTTCATGGCTCTCTATTGGTTGAGATTATATATTCTTTTGCATCAAAAAAAAACACTTTTTGAATTTGTTATTTCCATTTGGACGATTTTACAACTTTTTTGACCTCATTCCCTTATTAAAAAATTTTAACATCAATTTCTTGTGTTGTATTCATCGTGGTTGGACAAATATATAATTTAATCAATTATCAATTATAATTTTTACTAAAGATAATAGTTTTCATAAAGTCTTTGTCCATTTCTGAATTGAAATTCAATATAAATTTGACAAATCACCAAATCGCTCAAATATTTTTTTTTCATCAAAAATGCGTTGAAAAAAAATTAAAAATGAAAAAAACATTTTGAATAACATTAATTAAAATTTAGTCTTTCTTAACTCTCTCCTGTTTTTCTCCTCTAAAATACGGTTCAACGACATCTCTCCAATTCTGACTCCAAGTGATGTTATTTTGCTCACTGACATCTATATATAATTCATTTGTCCTAAAGAAAGACATATTCTATACATATAGCATTTTTAATTAATTATTATAATTTAATTATTTAATTAACAAATAAACTATATATAAACTCTTTCAAAAGAATACAAACAAACTCTTCTTCATTGTACCAAGAAAGACTTGTCTCCCTTGTTCGTTAATAATATTCTTCTCAAACAAAATTTCAAGTTGTTGGGCATCATCGAAACAATAACCAAATTTACCTTCAACCACAAGTTCCGTCTTAAGTGCCGGATATCCTCGAGCAAAGACAGGAAGACCACATCCATACATGTCTAACACTTTCATAGGCAAATCAAGCTGAGAAGAGCTTTGGTGTAATGAAATGCCAAAGTCACAAGAACTGAGGACTTTGGGATAGTCCTCATGAGTCAACCAAATTGGTACAACACACACCCTTTGCATGTTTTCCTCTGCAATTTTCTTTTCATAGAATTCTTTGAGTGGTCCACGTCCAGTAATAAAGATTAGCAGTTTTGGGACTTTTTCATTCAATTTTTCTTCAATTTTTTCGTACTTGAGTAACGCGTCAAATAAGACGGAAAAGTCCTCGTCAGGTGTCCAACTTGTCGACGAAACTCCTATGATCACTTTTTCCGTCTTGTTTCTGAATAGTTCCAAAATAGCTTTTGCGTTTTGTGGTAACAAATGTTCGATTTGCTTAAAAATGTTATACCGACTAGTTTCCGTTTGTGTTAAAGAAACAAAAGGTTTATCGTATAACACAGTGATTAATTCTTGGTGTATTTTGTGTTCTATTAAAAACATTTTCATTGCCTCTGTGACAGTAAAGTGATAATCAAAATACCTCGGTAGAAATAATTCATACCATTTCAGGGCTTGAATAACAAAATTTGATTCTTTCATGTTATGGACATTCATCACTATAGAATACGCAGTGTTATGCCAATCGACTATAACTTTGCAGCCAGTCAAAAATTTTACTATAGCGGCAATGAAGAACGATGGAAGTGATGGCGGATTTTGAATGAGAATATGACTGCACGCTGGCATCTTGAACAGCAGATGCTATTTGTAACTCACACTCGATAAACTATAGAGTATAATACATTGAACTATAATTAATAACAAACATAGAAGAGTTGGAAAGCTAAGAAAATAAACTTCACTGGAGCATAACACGTGAGCCAGACTACTGTTCTCAAAGGAAAGTTCTTGAGAGGGGGCAACACTGATAAACTATAGAGTGTTATATTTTTGTTTTGAACGATATCTGCGATGGGTTCCGTTTCTCTATAACATATGACAGAAACTGGACTGGTCCGTGAAAGCTCAATCGCGTGGAACTCCATACGTGGTGATCGTCCTATGTCACCTAATACAATCAAAGCTACATGCATGTCCTGTGTTTTTCGAGTCACTCGGATTAACACTACAAACAAAAATATGACCGCTAACACCCAAAGAATCACTGACATCTCCAATTCAAATTTTGAAGTTCTTTGTTAATTATAATAATTATAATAATTATTATAATTATTATAATTAATATCAATTATCATTAAGTATAATAATATTTACTTACACAATATCAATTATTAATTATAAATAATTATAAATAAATTGTTTAATACATTTTTCGTAACAAATAGTTACTGATCATATAAATTTTATTAATATTTATATTATAGTTTTATTATGTGAATTTTAAAAAAAGATAACTATTCAATTTTGACTCAAAATTATTGAGTATTTATACTTATTAGTAAAATATAGTATTTAATAAACTATAAATACATACAAAAACGAAAATAGAAAAAGAATAATACAGTTATAAATATATAATAAAAAAGCCATAAATTATAGTAAATGGTTCAAACAGAGAATGTGTTTGAGATTGCGGATGGAATGAAAGTGATGTCCCACTTTGTGACGTAATTGATCGCCTCTATCGAACAGTCACCCCTAAAATACCTAATTTCATATTCTTTTCCTTTTTCGAAGAAATCAGAATTTACTCTAAAGAAACACTCTTTCTTTGCAGACGAAAAAAAATGTTTGGTGTGGTCAATCATGTGTTTTTCTCGCATCGAGTCAGTGGAACTGAAAAAAACTCCAAAATAATCACCTTTGAAAGGTGAGTGATTGAGAGTGACGGAAAGAACGGACTTTTGGGGAAGGAAATTTGCAGAAATTTGTAATGCGGGAACCTTTGTCACGTGAATCTTCTTCTCTGTGTAAAGCTCCAAGTACTTCAACCCTTCCATTCGTAGAATTTTGACATCATAAAATCCATCAGGAAGGTTAATAGGAAACTGGTATTGCTGTTGCTCCTTCTGTAACGGAAGAAGGGACGTGTAGTTCTTTAGCTTAAACCGCCGGAAGCAGTAGAGGCCAAGACAGACATTATCAATATCAAAATCGGGGGGACATATGAAGTCAACATCAAGACGAAACTTCATCTCGTCCTCTTCCAAAGGTACGTACGAAAACGCGATGTACTTTGAAAAGTCGATTATTCCATTACTCATACCAACTATATAAGCTATTTGTTTCTTTTTAGTTTATATTAAAATCATCCATTTGTTTCGTTTTGAAAAAACAAATGAAATTAGAAAAATATTATTAATTAAATTTACTATATTTTATTATAAAAAAATTACTAGAAACTAATTAATTAATACTATAATTAATACTATAATTAATATAATAATTAATACTATATTTATTAATAATATTATTAATAATAATGGTAAAGTGTGTATGATTGTTTAACGGACATTGTTAAAAGCTAAAAACAACCCACTCGAACAAAAAAAGAATTTCATTTCAAGTGTAAAACAAAAGTTTATGAACTTCAAAATTCTGAACTTTAAATAACGAGGGAATGAGTGTGGACGTGTCTTCCGAGCAACTAGCAACCGTCTTCGATATATTGGACGTTTCCAAAAAGGGATTTTTAGAGCTTTCCGATGTGAAAGAGATTTTCAAATCAAAAGGCATTCAGTTGAGTGAGGAGGATCTGGTCGACGCTTTCAAGGCTTTTGACACAAATGGCGACCAAAAAATTGACAGCGCCGAGTTTGTTGCGGGTCTCAGCGAAAAGTTGAAAAAAGTGTCGACTGCTGAAGAGTTGACAACTGCCTTCAAAGCATTTGACACAGAAAACAGTGGAGTACTTGACACCAAGACTTTGACTGAGGAATTACTGAAGATGGAAAACCCACCTTCACAAAAGCAAATTGACAGTCTCAATAAAATCGCGGCTCAGGATGACGGGTTTCACTACGACTTGTTTGTAAAAGCTGCTTGCTAACTATTTTTGCCGTGTTCTATTTCGTTATATCATATCGGTTTTATATTTTTTTTTACAGCATAACTAGTGTTAATTTAATACCGATATAATACTATAATACTATAATAATAAATAATAATATAATACTAAAATAATAATAAATAATAATATTAAGGTTATTTGTTATGAAAAGTACCATACCATGATAAATAAAATACTATAATTAATAGTACAGTAATTTACTAGTAGAGAGAAACAGTAAAAAGTAAATCAATCTTTTTTGAGTTCTTTGACAATTTTCTGGCAAGCCTTGTAGCAGGAATTGTCTTTGGTTGGGAAAACCAAGGCGCAAGTTGTAAGGTGTTCCGAGCCGGACATTTCACCCAAAGTTTTTCTGGAGTCGACGTAGATGTAAGCGACACCGACAGACTTCATATAAGAAGGGATGTGTGTGATGATGTCGATTGGTGTGACATCCCCAGCAATTATACAAAGAGACTTTGAGAGCTTTTCACCATCTTTGCATGTTGTTGCTGTTTTCATAGTGTCTTTAATCCCACGTTTCAAACACTTGTCGTCTATCGCTTCCTTTAATAACTTCTTCAATTTCTGTTGCATTTTCTCATCGGCAAGAGGCTTAGCAATTGGGACTAAATGTGTCACTGGGTGTGATTCACTGCTGCTGTCGTCACTGCTGCTCATTTGGGGTTTAATGTTTCCTGTTCTATAATATATTCGCTAACCTATTTAAAACCTATTTTGTTTTGTATTTTGTTATTAAGTTTGTTAACAATGTCTGTCTATCTGTTTGTTTGTCATTTATTAATATAAATTAATATAAATTATTATAATTTATAATAATTTATATTAATTTATAATAATTTATATTAATTATTCATTATTAAAATTATTACTTATAATTTAAGTAAAAAGTAAAAATGAGTTATTGTAATATAATATAATATAATATAATATAATATAATATAATATAATATAATATAATATAATATAATATAATATAATATAATATAATATAATATAATATAATATAATATATTATATTATATTATATTATAATAGAAAAATAAATATTATATATTAATTAGTTGTAGTATAAAATACTATAATTTTTAATTATAGTAATATAAAATATAACTAATAGTGTATTAAATTATAATTATTATTAATTTGGTTTTTTATGTATTATAATTTATAATATTATATTACAATTAAATCTTAAAAAAATAATAAGTTATTAATATTTATTAATTATTATAAAAACTATTTATACAAATATAACTATTTGAAATTAATAAATAATTTAATGATTTAATAGTAAAAAAATTTTATAGTATTAGTAATTTTATTATACATTTTTAATTCAATTCAAACAAACAATAAAAACAATCAAAGATTTCCTCAAAAAAAGACAAACCGGAATGACAAAGACATAAAAGGAACAAAAAAAAGTAAGTTTAAAATCGAGATGAGTGCCGAGGAGATGACTCCCGTCGAAATTCCCACAAATTTGACCGACGACTTATTTCAACCCTTAATCCAACATAACACGTCACTCACAAATCTTCCCCAAGACACTTTACGGATGATCACAAGTAACTTGGACTTCGACAGCTTTGTGAAGCTCTCCAGCACTTGTCGTGCGTTAAATCAATACACCAATGATCCCGTAGTAATGCGTTCCGTCTGTGGTTTAAGTGGTTCGCAGTCCTGTACTGAGTGTGAAAACGTTATCAGAAAGCGCAAACGAGATATCAAGAACGAGAAAGAGCGCCGCGCCGCAGAGAAGCTCCGACGGCGTGAAATTTTCCAAACAGAGTTTTTCATGTGTAACCGCAGATGTTCTTCAAATGTCTTCTTTGAGTTCATCGCACTTGCTTTTCTCTTTGTCGCAATGGTGATGGGGCCATTGAGTCTTGACCGGTCCATAAGTGTCCCGTTGAGTAGTGTCGGGTGGGTCTTGTTATTCCCGGCACTCTATTACGGGTTCTTCCCCCACTTTTTGTGGTGTTGGGGGTGTTTCACGCAGACTGAAAAGGATATGATTGACGATAATCGTGACATGAAGATATACGGAGGCGCTTATGACTACTTCAACCAACTCTTTTTATGGTCCAATCAGTCTGGATTTCGACCTCTTAAGTGGTCGGTGTTAATAATCACATACGTCCTGTTCATGATTTGGTGTTACGATATCTTTGATTTTGGATATGTTTTGTTGCCCGTGACTTTGTATTGCTTGTTGTACCCATGTATTGGTACCATCGA